AAGAAAATGTGGAGGATATATGTAAGCACACTGAAGCCAGTTTCAATTTGAAACAATCTAAGGATGCTATTAATGTACAAATATCTCCACATGTATTATAACATGAAATTAGAACTATATAATATATTTTAGGATTATGAGCCAAACATCCAAGATATGTTAAATGTACAAATATCATCACAAATATTATAACATTAAATTAAAACTATATAATAATCTATATCTTAAGATTATGAGCCAAACATCCAAGATATGTTAAATGTACAAATATCATCACATGTATTATAACATTAAATTAGAACTATATAATAATCTATATCTTAGGATACAGAGCCAAACACAAGATATGTTAAATGAGTGTCAATCAGAAACAAATTTTTGAATTAAAAATGAAATTTTCCCTTCATATTTATAATTTTCTATATTATTTTCATATTTACAATTTGTCTTCATATTTATAATTTTGTATATTTTTATAATAAAAATTATTATGTTTAATGAATTTTTATAAAATGTGATTTAAGTCATTTTAGCAGTTTAAATACAAATCAAATCAAAACAACACTTTTTATTGAATAATTATAAACAAATGCTACAACTTTGACAAATTTAAACATTCATAAGAAATATAAGGTAATGGTAATTAAAAAATAAATGTATATAAAAATTTTGGAATAAGGGTTTCATAATTAATTTGTGATATCAATAATAATATTTTGTAATAAGCAGTCAGCCTTAACAATTTGTATAGTATTAGTAATATTAGTTTCTGAGGATTTATATAAGTGCTTAAATTTGGAACTCATGAACATGATTATCTTTAAAATAATTATTAATTCACATCAAACATTTTGTATATTATAAATTGAAAATAAATGTATGATATGGGACATGTTTCGTGTCTCTCAAAACTCACGAAAGTTTTGCGATTGGGAAAACTTTTAGGAATTTTTTTTTAATTTAAGACACAGCCTAAAAAAATTATATTATTTTTTGAATGTTACAATCATCTGTAGTTTTTTGTAACTCTTTTAATTGAATGACAATTGATAAGTGCAAAATAAGATTTTTTATACTTTGACCCTTGCTTTATATATCCAAAAACATAAAAGCTAGAATAATAAAATTTTAACACTTGCTTTAGTTACATGGTATCCTAGTTCGTAAATAAAATTTCACCGAATTCCCAAAGGGTCCTGCGAAACTCATTATTTTTTGAATGTTACAATCATCTGTAGTTTTTTGTAACTCTTTTAATTGAATGACAATTGATAAGTGCAAAATAAGATTTTTTATACTTTGACCCTTGCTTTATATGTCCAAAAACATAAAAGCTAGAATAATAAAATTTTAACACTTGCTTTAGTTATATGGTATCCTAGTTCGTAAATAAAATTTCACCGAATTCCCAAAGGGTCCTGCGAAACTCATTATTTTTTGATCGATTTGACGTGGGATGGATGCCCAGCATATTTACAGTGTTTGAAATAAATACTTTATTTTTTGGAGGGGTAAATTTTTGTTAATTATTAGAAGAAAAATCGCTTGATGCTTATTTAATAATAATAACATATCGTGTTTATTTTAATGATCCCAAATGCTTGGGACTTTTTCACATAGAAACTTTAATTATGTATTATCATAAAAGAAAAATTTTCTGAAAATAAAACATAATCAATGATGTTTAACAGTAAAGGTGCTATATTTGGATCGGCTAACTTGGCCTAATCTACTATCATGTGCCGAATAAATTTCGCCAAGCATTTTTCGTTCATATCAGCTCCGACCAGAGTCCTTATAAATGAACTTTTGGTTATTTACACTTTAGATTCCAAATTTTAAGCCTTATCATATTTCTTTCTCACATCTTTATCCAAGGGGTCTCCTATAATTAAGCGATGATGGTGGCACACGCTTCTCCTTAAATCAGCTAATAAGGCCAGACCTTACCCTTAAATAATCCAATGTCATTTTTGCAATGCCGAATTCATAAGTCTTGGGATAAGCTCGTCAGAATAAATTCGATGGATTCTTTGGTGAGATCGACAGCAAATTTTTTTTATCTCTCTTAAATAGTGTGTTACATACTACTATTTCAATGGAATCCAGAAATCTTGCAAAGTTTCCTCAATATTTCTCATACCAAGGTTAAAGCCTCCATGAACTCTTTCATATCCTTCAGCATATTCTCCAACATGTTTATTAAGCACACCTGATATCGTCTCTATCCCAAATTATATTTTCTATTCACAATTTCCAACTTGAGGTGCAAAAGCTGAGATCATGTTAAACATTTTTACCAATGACCAATTTAAAGAATAATCTAATCATTCAATCTCTTCGTTCTTTGTCGATCAACTTCTTTGCAATAAGCACATATATCCCTGCCAGAAAAACTTGCACTTTGAGCCATACAGTCAACATTTTTACATTTTCTTTTCGATCTTGCCTATTGTACACAGCATACATCTATACTCATTCTATTTAGCACTTCAACTATCTCACCAAAGCTACAATATTATATGTTATGACTTTTATACTATTCAATCCCCACATTAGTATCAGGTCAATAATGGTTGACAATGTCTCGTTTTCCCTAGATGAAGTTCTGCTGAATTTCCCATCCATCCTATTGTCATAGATGGCTGAGAAGGCCCAAGGGTACTTAGAACTATACCCCACCCATATTTTGTAGAGACCAAAAGTGGCTTTTGGGGTGGCTATTTTTATGATCTGTTTGTTATCACCCATTTAATGGTTTTTACACCCCATTGAGAAAAAAAGTGATCATATATCCCAGACTACAAGGAACCTTTTAAACGCCTATTGGCCATCTGGAAATATTGTCCTTCCCCAACTATGTTGAGACAGAAGGTAATTCACTTTAGTATTAAATGTACATAACAAAAAAACGGTAGTATTCATTTTGATAATAACTCAAAGTAGTAAATTTTTTAATTGGATGAAATATATATCAAAATTTAATATTGCTAATAAGGGTGAGTATACATTTAAATTAGACCATTTTTATTTTAATAAAATTTAATTATTTTTATTTAGAGTAGGGATGTACCGATATTTTATATCGGACCGATATTTCGCCCATTTAATATCGATATATTATAAAATTTTCCGATCCAATATAAAATGACGCATTTAACAAAATTTAAAAAAAGTTATATCTAAAAAACCATTTATTTTTATAAATAAAATCGAAATATATTTTTTAATTTCTTTAATAGTAATAATTAGTTAATAAACATTCTGCAATATAGTTATTTTTTTCGCATTCTGTTTAAAAAGTGTTCATTAATCTCTTCAGAATCTGTTTTTAGTGATGCTAGTGATATTAACAGTCCCCATCACTGCAGACCAATCTCTGATAAATTGGAAATTTTGGTATTTCTAAAAAGAAATCTCTGATATATTAATTTTAAATATTAATTTCAAATTTCATAATATATTTGTTTATTACTAATTATGTAAATAGATTAATGTTATTACTTATTATATAAATAATAGCAATTGAATTAAGATCATTATAATATATTTAAATGACATATGTTATGGTATAGTAAAATCATAGATGTTGTACTAAAAGTATATTAAAAATTAAAACCGTTATCTTTACAGAATACAAAATTAGATATATCAAATCGATTATCGGCCTATATTAATTTAATATCTGGAATATCGTATTGAATCGGCCTCCAAAAAGTGGTATCGGTACACCCCTAATTTAGAGCTTGTCAGCAATCAGGATTATAGAAAGTCCAATATAAATTCAAATAAATCATATATTATATATTAATTGCTAACTAATATATGATTGTTTTTTTAACGTTTTTAATTGTATTATATTGTAGATATATATAAGAATTGCTTAATGTCACTAATTATTCTCAAAATTGAGGTTTTAATCTTCTATTATTAGATATTTTTATTAGCTAGCACTTTCAATGATTTTCTTTTTTGGAATTTTAAAAAATTTCAAAATTCTTATTGGGCTTGAGCCTCTGTACCCCTCCCCCTTGGTGAAGCTACTTAATGGATGGGAAGGTGGGAAATCTCCCCAACCCCATTAGAAATTTACCTATTGTAAATATCATTTTAAGCTAAAATTCTAACTGCCCTCCCCCCTTACTATATACAATATAATCAATATAAACAAATCATTATTATACAAAATTTTCAAAAAAAAATCCAAAATTATTTTCATAAAAATATCACATAGCCAATAATCTATGACAAGCGGATGCAGGATCTCTAATAATATATGGCACAAAAACCTACCTAATAGCCCCCCCCCCACAGAAAAATATATGGTATTACTGCATATTTTTAAAAAAATATAAATTTATTCATATAAATTAATTTTAAAAAATATTTACAAAATAAGTTTCAAATCAGATTAATGAGAAGATTGGCTAATTCAATCTTTTTTAAGAGGTCAATTGATGCCAATCTGATATTAAAATGTTAATATTGGTATAACCTATAAAATTTTATAACAATTCAAAAAATAAACCCTAATGAAACAACGTTTTGAAAAATACTATAAATTAGTTACACCTTTATTAGAATTGGTTCCTACAATTTCAAAAGGAGTTCCTGATTTTATTCCTAAATTTATCATTTAAGGTTTTAGTTGGAGTTCTAAACTCTGTCCACACACTCTTCCTCCCAAGTTCAACCTTCTATTTGATTAAGCCAGTATTTTGAATGACTTTAATCCAATATTTTTTTAATAAAGGAGAATTACCTAACAAAATTTTTTTTTGATAAAATATCTAGCATAAAAGTCTATCAAAATGAATAATGTTCTCTTTATATACAAATAAATTGCATTTATATAATAAAAAAACAATTAATTATTTTAAGACAATCAATAGAATAATTAGAATAAAATTTTAAAAATAAAGTTCTTTGTAATAAAAATAGTTTAAATTGTGTACAATCATCAAAAAAAAATTTTTCATAATAAATAATAATGTTATTACCTTTTTTAATCTATCAGGTGGATTTTTATTGATAGCATTAATAAATTGAAATTTAGCTGATGCTGTTTGTGACATAATAACCAAAGTTAACCATAAAGAATCATCGTCCACAAAGAGAATTCAAACTATTTCTTTTATAAATATTTCTAAATTTAATCATTATATCTAATTAGAATATCATATTACTATATGATGGCATCAGAAGAGGTTGTAGTTATCCATGATTAAGAAATTACAATCTAAATGATAAAATTCAACTATTTTGCGAATAAAAGCATTTTCATAGATTATACCAAACCTAACACAAAAAAAGATTCGGTAAATTCTGTCACCTGTCATTGCAATATCACTAGTTAATTTGAAAATTTATTTTTCTTGTAATTGATTAGTTTTTCTTTTCAAAGGGAATTATATAATAAACACCTTTATTTTAGATTTTTTTTGTAGAACACAGAAGGAAATTAGATTAAGGTGGCAATTAGATTTAAATAATATATAATATTTCAATAAATAGAAGTAATCTAAAAAGATCATTTAATTTAATGCATCTTCAAAAAAAAAATTGAACATAATAAAATATTCAAAAAAATTTATAAATATTTTTATCATAATTTACGGTTCACATTAGGTAAAAATTATTTTATTTTTAATGATATTACATTTCTAAATTCTGTGTTAAAAATTGAATATAACTCACTAAAATTTAGCATTAATTGAAGGTTAATTTACTATTATTATTTAAATTATTATATAACCCTAATTAAATAAATATAATCATTTATAAATTGAAAACTAACCAATGATATATTATATATATCATTGAAACTAACAAATTTAATATTGTAATTAACCGAGTTCAAAATGACTAATCAACTGTATATTTATTTTAAATTAAATTATCATACCTATTCCTAAAAATATTTTGTTACATTATAGGAATTAATTTTATAGTCTAATTTTTAAGCTTACTATTACTTTTGTTTTTTTGCATACAAACTTTTTATAATCTAATTTTGTAACTTTACTTTTTATTTTTTGTAACCTTAATTTTTATTTTTCGTAATCTTACTGTTTGTTTTTTTTGTTTATATTTTAATTTGATCTAGTATATATACGAAGTGTAAAATGAGAAAAAGAGATAATAAAGTTAATAATAATAAAATATATTTTTACATACTCGCAGGTAAACCTTCCCTTCGTTCTTTTCATGGTGCCCTGGCTCTGGGTGGTGGACTAGAATGAGATGACTACCTAACATATGGAGATGACTGCTTAACCTATTGAGATGACTACCTAATTTATTGACATAATCAATGCCTAATCTATTGATGACTGCTTAACCTATTGAGATGACTACCTTATCTATTGATATGACTGCCTAATCTATTGAGATGACTACCTAATTTATTGACATGATCAATGCCTAATCTATTGATGACTGCTTAACCTATTGAGATGACTACCTTATCTATTGATATGACTGCCTAATTTATTGATATGACCAATGCCTAATCTATTGAGATGACCAAGAATCAAACCTTAGCACGTTCTTTCGTGCAAAAAGTTTCTTTCTTCATGGTCTCCTGGCTCTGGATGTTGGACTGGAATATGATAACCAGCACCTAACCTAATGTGGCAATCTAGAAAGAACCAATATGAAAGTTGGACGTTAGGTTATGAATTCTATATTGTGAGACCAATGATGATTACTTATTATTCTAATCCACGTAAGAAGAAAAGTTATTATAAATTAAGATTTTATGCCGGGATAAAGGCATGTTATAAATTTTTATAATCACTAAAATGTAAAATAATAATGGAAATATTTGAACACACAAAAAGCCTTTAAAATATTATTTACTTAATTTCTTAGTGAAATATTGATATTTTTTTGATTTCTTGAATGATGACCAATTGTTGTAAATTAACTAAGCCTAAAGATGAATTCTTAGATATAATTAAAAATAAACCATTTAATATCCTAAACAAGAAGATAAAACTTTAATTTTAAATATATTAAAATGTAATTAAAACATATGAATTAAATGGTTTAAATCACATGATTGATTTAAATAACCCTTATAAGTAATACTTAATATGATAAAAATGTTTTTGAAATAAAGCTTTTGAAGACAAGTGGTTATGTTACATCTTCATTTTAGATAAATATTTAAATGATGTGATGAAATCATTTTCTAAAAATTATCTTAGAAAGAATTTTTATTAAAAATAACACTTTTTGAATTAAAACTAGGGTGTGAAATTTAAATTTTTTATTTAAAGAGAGGGAAATGTGAATAATATTTTATTTGCATATTTTAACCTTGGAGATTGAAAATAAATAAAAATAATTAAATACTAAAACGCAAAAATTAAAACGCGAAAAAATAAAAGTCATTAAAACGCGAAAAATTAAAACGCTAAAAATATTATATAACAATCTTATTGATTTATCATTCTTCACTTATTTTTATATTTTGATGAACTATTATTTCTTATTAATCGTAATTTACTGATAATAACGATTTTGAAAAATGATAATAATAACAATGAGCACTACAAGCAAGCTACATGAAGCCACGATTTGTAAAACATTCGATATGGATATCAAGCTCACGATTTAAACAAAAACGTGCCAAAACGAACAAACCAACGATTTGGATAAGCCAACGACTAATGACTTATGCAACATTGACAACCAAAACGATAAACTACTTGGACCAATGACATAGATAATACCTAGACTGACGATTCATTCATTAAAATTCATTTTTAAACGTCGTTAAAAGCAAATCAGCTGGACCGGCCATTTTGGTAACACATATAGTAATTATTCTCATGTTAAAAAACTATTAAATTCATAACTTGCTGTCTTATTATTTCGATGATCCGGTAATTCTTTAATAAAGTTTGCATCAGATATAGGAATAAATTAGGCTCTCGTTTATAATTTTAATAATGATTATTGTAACCAAGATGGCGTCTCCACATGATTTGCATTTATGTATACTTTTAATGAATGAATCGTCAGTCTAGGTAATATATATGTCATTGACTTGGACAACAAACTCTCTATGACTTCTCATAAGAATTTATGGGAAGGCTTTCAGAAGAGGGAGAATGTTACATTATAGGAATTAATATTATAGTCTAATTTTTAACCTTACTATTACTTTTGTTTTTTTGCATACAAACTTTTTATAATCTAATTTTGTAACTTTACTTTTTTATTTTTTGTAACCTTATTTTTTATTTTTCGTAATCTTACTTTTTTTTTTTTTGTTTATATTCTAATTTGATCTAGTATATATACGAAGTGTAAAATGAGAAAAAGAGATAATAAAGTTAATAATAATAAAATATATTTTTACATACTCGCAGGTAAACCTTCCCTTCGTTCTTTTCATATTTTCAAGGTCTAAATAAGTATAAGAGATTTCTTTATAAAAAGTAAGTAAATAGACATATAGTTTACAATCCTCTATTATATACAGTTGTTTATAAAATATGAGATAAAATGCCACTTTATAGACGTATTTGATAGTTATATAATAAATTACAGTTAATAATATAATAAATTTAACTAATAAATGCTTTTAATAATAAATATTGTAACAATTTACATTTAAGTATTTAACGCCATCCACTTATAAATATTTTAAAAATTAAACATTTTATTATTATTCCTAGAATAAGATATCTTTTCTTCTCTTTTTTAAGTGTTTTTAGGAGAGCTATTTTTTTTCTTTTTCGAAAAACAGTTTTGAGTTAAATTTTTAATACTAGTATATTTTGGATATTATTACAAACTACTATTATTTTAAGATACAATATACCAACTAAAGGTGGTGCGAATATATAAAATCTTAATTGTTTCATCATATCATTTTGTTTATTATTTTATAGTTAGAAAAGTTTCATTTCTAATATGGCATCCATTTAAATAACTCAAGGTTTCAAAATATTTGCATAATTATTACTTACAAAGATTTTTAGTGTTTTTATTTTATCATTTTATTCAATATGATAAATTCTGGTATTAGTTTACACCGTGAGTGTCATGGCTATGACTGCAAATTAACCCGCTGTGTTGCTATGTAATTTAAGATTATTACTACAGCTGTTGAGAGCATATTAATGCATATCAGATAAACATATAGTCAACTGCGCAGTCAATTATATATCATTAAAATGAAGATAATTTTTAGATAATTTAATATCTCACAATAATTTTCTCGATTACTTATCTAGTTTACATCATATCATCTAAGAGGAAGCTCTAACCACCAGTTTTATGATTTGGATTGGTTGTTTATGCACTCTTCTTCAATAAATGTTGATTTGGTTTCAACCTATAAATTTTTCCTTATTAGTCCATTCAATAAAACATTGTCTAAAATTGTAACAGAGTTATATTAGTTTTATAACCTTTTGTCAATGTAAGTTGCTAAGAATTATATTACTGCATTATGTGGTTTTTAAAATCTATTGTCAATTGAGACATATGTATGAATAAATTAACCTTTTTTATCACTTATAATTCTTTAGAAGCAAATTTTTTTATATCAGCAATCGAAAATATTTTATACTGTAATAAATATATTTAGTATTAAAATATATTATTTTTAGAAATGTCTTGTATTGTTTTAATTAAACGCCAATTTTTGTATACATAATATAATAAATGACAAAATATGAAATTTAGAATAATTGTTCAGAGTTAACAAAATTTATAAATATATAATATACTAATATAAAGCCCTTTTTTTAGTAGAGCACCCTGAAATTGTAAAGGCTAGCGACGCCCCTGATGTTTTTCTACAAATTAGTATCAAAGTGGGGTTTCCTATGTGCTTTGTTTGTTAAGCACACTACGCCCATTTTCCAAGATTGGCGTCAATTTTGGAAAATATATTAGCATCTTATTTGTTTAATTAGCACCAAATTTTACGCCCTATTTTAAATAAATATTCATTTTCTTGTAGCATCTTATTTCTTTTCGTTTTAAGTAAAAACATAATGGTGAAATATCAAAATATATTAGATATAAAAAATAATTATTTTACCAATGATAATCATTTTATTTTACTAGATTATCCATCCTACATATCAAAAAACCTAATACATATAATACGTTAACGTTGTTTAGATTTAATATTTTTGCACATAAATTTGTGCTTATATTTCAATTCCATTGTATTTAATATTTTTTAGTGATGAAAATATTTTTTTAATTTTTTAATAAGTAAATGTAAAGGATAAAAGCTTTTA